TGGTAATGGGTTTTGGATTCTTTGGTTCATGGAGAATTGCCATCTTTGGTCCAGGATGAGGTTACACTGCTTAGTGCAAAATTTGCAGGGGGGTGGGGGAGTTGCAAGTCAGATAAGATTGCCCTCCAACTTAATACTCTTTTGAAAGGCCCTAAGGATATAGTTTTGTCAGCATGACTGGAGATCACAGGCTGATACGGAGCCCATCAAGTGGTTTTTCTGAATGTTGTAGGGGGTGGGAGTGTATTAGGTTTTGTATTTGGGGTCTTAACTTTGTAAGCAGCTGAAGTCACCATGAATGAATTAAGAGGCCACGTGAATCTCCTAAATAAATAAAGAGCAGAATTTGCTAATACTGTAGTTCAAATGATTTTTTTTCAGATTCAATCAAAAGTTCAGTATCGGTTTATTTCTTGTTAGTATTTATAAATAAAAACAGCTGTGCTATAGAATCATCTTAATACATATTGCTTACCAAAATATATTATTTAATTTTCTAGATGAAGACTGTTAGTGTTGCCTTAGTACTGTGCCTGAATGTTGGGGTGGATCCTCCTGATGTGGTAAAGACAACTCCATGTGCTCGACTTGAATGCTGGATAGGTAAGCCCCTTTGAACATTATTTATCCATTTAAAAAGTTTGAATTACTTTGTCTTGCAATGCCAGGTAAAGGTGACAATATATTCAGTGGAAATCTGTACTAAATAAAGATTGGAATAAATACTAGTACAAAAATGCACGTTGGCATCTGTTTGTTAATTGGCTTATTTTTAACGTGCTGAAATGCAAATCTCATAAAAATAGTTTATTGTGCTTCTTTAAAAGATTTGTCCTTAGGCCTAGGTGAATATCCACAAGAATAACTTTACATCATTCACTCTCATACACACCCATAAAATTGCCCAATTCCTAAACAACTCTGTATTTAAAATTAACACCCTTCCCCCAAATATCCATTAAAAATACAACAGATCAGAAAAGGAAAATGCAAAAAGAAATAAAGCAGATCATAACAAAATAAAACAAAGAGGGATTGGATCCATAGTCATCTTGTCTCCAAGGCCAGGGAAAACAATCTTCAATAATTTCCTGAACAACATAAGAATGGCACAGATCTTTGGTGGGGAGGAGGAATTATTGCAGAGAGCAGGAATTACAGTAGAGTAGGCTTCTGGATTCCACAAGATGGTATTCTTTAATTGATAGCACCTGGAGTGCAACTACCATGTTGGACTGAATTGAATAGTAGAGGCATTGGGAGTGCCCCCCCCCCCCAACAGTCAGGGCCCATGCCGTGAAGGGCTTTGACAGTGATAATAAGTACCTTGAATTGCACCTGTCATGTGGCAATCAGCAGAGTTATGCTCATATAACATGGTGCTCTGTCACTGTCCATGCCACTGCATTCTAGACCTGCTATAGTTTTCAACTGGTCTTCAAAGGCAGTCCCATGTAGAATACATTGCCATAATCCAGTCATGAGGTGACCAGGTAGATGTAACCATTTGAGGTGGTTCCTGGTCCAGGCAAGGACAGTACTGGAGCATTACATGTACCCGTGAAAAAACTCTCTAGGGAACAACTTCCACTTGCTTTACAAGTAGAAAGTGATGTCCAAATTGGAAACTCTCTGGAACCATGCTGGTGAAACAAACTGAATCCCTGAATTTTCTCACTATTGAGTCTGAGTCCCATCCAGGTCTGTATGTCCTCCAGGCACTGGGTCAAGACTTCAGCAGTGTCCCTTGTTCAACTTGGGCTTGCAATGTATAGTTAGGTAACATCTATACACTATATTGGCTGCTGACCTCATTCAGCAGTTTCATGTACATGTTAAGCAAAAGAATTGAACTCTACAGTACCCCACTAATGAGAGGCAGTGGGTATGATTTCTTCCTACCTGTCAACACCAATTTTAAATTGGCCACAGAGAAAAGAAGAGAAAACATAAAACAATGCATTCCACCCAAACCTGAAGCTGGCCCAAAAGGATACTACGGTAGACAGCATTAAAAGCTGCTAAGAAATCAAGAATCAAACGAGAGGTGGGCACACCACTTCCATCTGAGCTTTGCTACAAGTCAAATAATCTGCTTCCCTCAGGCTCCTCTGGATCTGAAGGCCAACCACCCTCTTCACCTAGTGAGGGTTGGGAATTGTATGATAATCGTCCGGGACCTTTTGGTCATATAATGTCTCTATTGTGAAATAAATGCTGAAAATTTTGCCATAGGCTCATTAGCAACAGCATTAGCACTTAGACTTATATACTGCTTCACAGTGCTTTACAGCCCTCTCTAAGCGGTTTACAGAGTCAACATATGGCCCCCAACAATCTGGGTCTTCATTTTATCCACCTCGGGAGGATGGAAGGCTGAGTCAACCTTCAGCCACTCAGAATTGAACTCCTGGAGTGAGCAGTGAGTTAGCTCTGCAGTACTGCACTCTTAAGTATTGCTTCACCACGGCTCTTTAGAAATGTAAACTAGATACCAATCGATTATTCTGGATGTTTTGAAAGTTCTTATTTTGTCTTTATTTAATAATCAATATTTATTGAATATTTATTCAACATTCATTTTATTGTGCATTATCTAGAATATAATCATAAAATTTTATGTTTATAATCATAAACACAAAAATGTTTTATTTTTTTCCTGATTGTTTTTTCGTGCCTTTGAGTGTCTGACTACCTGGACTAGTCCCTGCAGTGCATTTTTAGAAGTGATTTGCCATTGCCTTCTTAGAGTAACTGGCCCAAGGTCACCCAGCTGGTTCCGTGCCTCAGATTGGGAGAGAATTCAATCTCCCAGTTTATAAGTGCCTTAATTGCTACACAAAACTTCCTTTTCCGGTTATGCTATTTTAAGTTAAACAGTATGAGTTTGTATCTTATGATTTAGGTTTTATATATAATAAAGCACATCTATAATTTTCCATCAAGATTTTTAATTACAATAAAAAGGGCTGATTTAAACATCACCATCTCAGTTTATATGTTGCCACTTTATATCTGGTAGGAATCATTGCTGTTTAGTGTAGAACATTGCAGATGACTTGAAAATTAGAAAGCATGCTGCATTTTGCCTTAGAAAACTAGCTTCAAACAACCCTAGTGAAAACCAAATGCGTTCTCTGGTAAGTTGAAATAACATACTTTATACCAACTTTATATTCCTTCCTTTTACTTGTGACCATCTTGATTTTAGTTCCTTTAAATAAGATCCTGGAGCTTGATACCTTTTCATTTTTATAGGAAAATTATTCAGATCAGTCTCTTGGTTTTGTATTTAATTATTTTTAATTATTAACATATCAGCTCGTTCCTTTTCTATGTCCAGTGGAACATCTTTTTCCATGTCATTCTTGTAGCTTGTCTTTCTAAAATCTACTTTCAAATCAATCTCAGTCTCATCAGGCAAAACTTGTTCCTCTTGCATAATATCTTTTAAACACAGGCAAACACTCTTCAACTTCTGTGTCCTTTGTTCAAAAATACTCTTCAACATATTCAATGTAAAAATGTTTTGCTTTATTCTGTATTTATAAGCTAAATCTGAGTGTTCTTCTCCTTTAATAGTAATCTTTATTTCCTTCTAGTTCTTTCTGGCGTCCAATTTGTAAAGGCTTATCTTCTTATGTTTTTTAAAATAATTCAAAACAAAAACATTGTCCCATGAGAAGGATTCTTTATAATTAATTCCAAGATCTTATTTCAAATTTATCTGTACCCTTAGTCCATTTGTAACTTTCTAAAATGAAAGTTTTGCTGTTTATTCCATTATTTTTAACCCCGTAAACTTGAACAGTTAGTCCTTGACTTATGACCATAATTGATTCTGGAATTATGGACATAAGCCATGCTGATTGTTAAGTGGGTTGCCATGTGACACTGTCCAATTTTACAAACTTTTTTGGGGGTAATTAAGTGAGTCACCATGGTCATTAAATGAACAGGCAATCATTAAGCAAAACCATTGTTGGGGTAATTCCCCGTTAGGAGAATGAGCGCATACAGGGAGATGTAGTGAGAGTGGTGAAGAATAACACACAAACAGCACACAGATACACTGTACAGTAAATGTAGGTTTTTACTTCCAATAAACATTTAAGCAAATTCCAAGATAAGCAGTCCAAGTCATTCACAGGTAAGCAGTCAGTTTTCTGTTCAGGGATAATCCAAATATCAAAGTCCAGTATCAAAAACAGTTCAGTAACAGACTTACATCAATGATCAGTAACAGTCATTTAGGAGGAACGGCAACTCTCTCCAACAGAAGGAATAGAGAGACTCACTGTGACTTCTTCTGAGACTAAACAACCCATGTTTCTGGCTTCATCTTATGGCCATTTGCGGAACCACACCCAATTACAGATTTAGTATTCTCTTAAAGGCATAGTATTAAAATGTCTATCCTAGTTTATATATTTCCAACCCAAATAACTGTTAGGTGACTTACATTCCTAACATTCTCCCCTTTTGGGTAGGACAATATATACAACCTTACATTCTAAGTCCATAATCCTCGCAGCAAGCCTTATGCTTTATAGAGCCATGGGCCTTTGTAAAATGATCTGCTATATTGTTTTCTGACATACAGTATTCTAGCTTAATCATCTTACTTTGCACACATTGTCTCACATTTAAATATCTTAAATCTGTGTGTGTATTATTCTTCGCTACTTTCATTATGTCTCCCTGTGTACGCTCATTCTCCTAATGGGGAATTACCTCAACAACCCTTGTCCATAAGGGAAGTTTTTTTTACTGGAAACTGTAAGTAGATGTTGGTTTCCAGCAAAAAATATCATAAAACCGGGTCATGGTGAATAGACATAAAAACAGGCTGGTAGTCGAATACCGCAAAGGGGGTACTGGATCATAAGTAGCCCCGGGGAGGTCCATTGTAACTTCAAATTTTTGCTGCCTTCAGTTATTCATAAAATAATAAAGGTAGGATTAAAATTCTAATTAATAAAATTTCTTTCTTAGGCCTCAAAGTATGGTTTCTGAAAACAGTACTTGAGGCTAAAAAGAAGAATGTGATTTTGGTCAGTTAATTTTATCAGATGGGAGAAAAAGTCTCATCTCTTTCTAAATGCTATTATATCATTCAAAGTTGATTTATTTCATTGTATTTTTCAGTATGACTAATGTTGCTTAGGGAAGTGTTATGTGCTTCATTGGCTTTAATAAGATAAAGTATTTTAACAGTATGAACAAAATGCTACATCAGGCCAATGCAGTATTTTAATAAATACAAGATACTTATTTAAAAAAATACAGCAGCACAAAGGCTTTCCTGTTGCCATTGTCTGGATATTTTTGTCTTAGTAGCCTTATTTATTTGTTTGTTTGTTTATTTATTTATATTTGCTTTATTTATATTTGCTTTATTTTCTTAGCCCATAAAGTTACTGCAGCATCAAATTTAATGCAGTAGCTAAGAGGACTTTAGATTTAAAGGATTTAAAAAGTAACTTTGGCATTTACTGCAAAGATGTTAATAATGGCTTATAATTTGATGCATGTTTGTTCAGCTTTGTGGCAGTAACTATAGATTTCTCCTTGCTTTTAAGAGTTCGGTCTAAATCCCACAAACACATTTTTAAAAATAACAGTGGAGTAACTCCGGTGGTTGGAGAATTTTAATAACCTTCATTTTAATTGTATAGAAATCAGTGCTCTAAGATGCAGTTGCGATGACTCTTGCCTTTCCCCTTGACTTAGCACGCCGATCACCTCTTCCTAAAGTTTTGTATTGCAATATTTCTCAATCTGCACTTGTTTGCTCAATGTGCCATGTAGGTAGCAGATAACCAGCTCAATAATGTTGCTCTGCACAATTTTTCATTGTCCAAGAGGATTTGAACATGTTTTGCACCAGCTGGCTGCTGTTTGCTAGCCAAACAAAAGAATGCTAGAAAAATGTCAAATTCCTTCTGTAGTCATTTTGCTGTGAAAAGTAGAAGACGCAATAGTTTAAGTGTCCATCACATCTGCAGTCCAAAAGCCAATGGCAGGAGGAGCAGTAAGGTATGATGTTACTTCATTCCATGCTGTCTGTGCTCCAGAATTTTCATCATGTAAATTAAGAAGAGAAAGAAAGGCAGGGGTTTTGCAACAAAGGTACAGTGGTGTTGAAGCCCCTCCCCGCTTTTTTACAGTTACCACTCTGAGTGATGTTTATTTTAGATAACATTTTCAGAGAAACATTTACATGTTTAGGTCTTCCTCCTTCACCATTGAGGCTTTCTTTCTGTAGTGGAAGGCCACCTCTGTGTGATGTTGGGAATCTCTTCTTACATTTTTTTTTTTGCTCTCTGTCTGTGCCTTCGTGTGTTGTATGTGCAGAAGCAAGACAGGTATGGATTATATTCTAATCTCTTTGTTTCTCTAATATGTCCCAGACAGTGGGAAACAAGCATTAGTCTTGGAGCTGACAGAATTATTTTTTCTTCCATTGTAGCCATTGAAGTGAAAGGGAAATAAATAAAATATAAATTCTCAGCAAAACGATAAAAAAGTCACTTCTTGACTCCCATTTTGAATGTCCCAGTTTGGGGATTAGGGATTTAGAGAAATAGTGGCTTCTCTTTGCAGTATCTACTCTCTGCCAGTGGATTCTGTATTGTGCTCTTGGTCTCTATTTCACTGGCTTATCCTTAAACCTATCCTTTCTGGAATTAAAATTAAAATATATAGTTACGTCCTAATGAGGCGATGCCATATACAGTTCTGTTTCCTCTACACAGGTTGCCAAGCAGTAGTGTGTCTCCTGATTTTCCTCCAGGCAAAAGCTGTTGTTACTATAATGTTTCCTTTACGTTTTATAGAAAAAAAAAGACCCATCTTTTATTTGGGGTTGCTTTATGACCAAACGTGAAATGTCACAATAATAGGGTAGAAAATGTCATTAAGAAGGATGTATGCCCTCTAGCATTCTGAACCAGAAAGTTGTTTAATGGTATCAGAAATGTGTTGAATATCAATGTAATTCAATAGAAATTTTTGTTTTTATACAACCTGTAATGGAAGCTGTGTATCAGTCTTAAGGCAAGCAACACAGAAAGGTTTTCCAGAGTTTTTGGAGATGGGCTAACTAAAGCAAAGGTAGACTTGACTCTTTTCCTTTCAATAGAATTAAAATTCCACAGTGCATCAAAAATCATTCAGACATATAATCATAGACACAGAAGTGACAGCAAATCTCCATCCTGCCTAGGAACCTTATCTGTCAAGATATATAATAGTGGTTGTGTAAAAAAAAAAAAACACATGCAAGGAGAACTAGAATAAATGCAATGCATTTTTCCTTTACTACAATAAAATAAATACTGAAATATGGAAGAAAACCTATTAATGATAAGCATCTATTCAAAATTAGCCATTTTACTACATTTTGGAGGATATTGTAATTGGGTTTCCATTGTCAATAAAAAGGTCCATCACAATCACAACCTTTTTAAAAAGAACAGTTGCATGATTATTGTACATGTTAAAATATACTTATATCCAGTATTTTAAATTATATCATTGTGAGAAGAGTCACATCTCTCATTTTATATGTATGTATGTATATGTATATGTATATGTATATGTATATGCATATGTATAGAATTTGCTCTCTTTCTCCTCGTCCTTCATCGATGATGCATTGTTGCAACTTTTGAACTCTTAACTGAATATATTCTTGCTATGGTTAGGATTGCAAAAATAAAGCCATTAGTCAGAAAACATTTATTTATTAACACACCACTTTGAAGTTTCCATGCCAATATATTTTAATTTAAATATAGCAATAGATTCAGTTATGCTGTGTATTTACTAGTAATCAATTCATACAGTGTATTTTAAATGAGTATTCTATGCATATGTGAACTGCCAATTTCCTATAAATAGAAACTGTATCCTCCCTCTAAAACATCAGTAGGTTACTCTAACTCAGGGGTGTCCAAACTTTTTGCAAAGAGAACTAGATTTGGTGAGGTGAAAATGTGTGGGGCCCAACCATTCAACCTGACATTAGCTGGAAAAACACTGGCCGGTGGGGATGAATTATAGGCTGAGCCAGTAGGGAGAAGAGGCTGCAGGCTGCTAGAAATTTGAAAACGGGCCGCAATTGGCCCCCAGGCCGGACTTTGGACATGCCTGTTCTAACTAATATTCCCTCTCTCTATATCGCAAATGTGCATTTTCAAGAGGCAACTGAACTTTCTGTTTTTTTCTTTGAAAACGATTTGCTTCTCATCCAAGAAGCTTCTTCAGCTCTCTCTATATGCATATGCATATTTATCTCTTAGACTTGTGCAGTACTTTATATTTAAAGGAAAAAATACACTGTGGAATGCATATGTGTGCTTATAATACTTATTAGCAACTCCTTATATCAAGCATGTTATTTTCTCAGAATTGTATTGCCTTTTGAATCTGAAGCGCTGCATAGCACTGTTGTTTAACAACAATTTTGTGTCTATTAAGGTGTGTGTGTGAGAGAATCTGTCTGTCTGTCTGTTTGTCCAGTTTTCTTAGAGCAAATATTTGGCTTCCATTGTCAGATTAGCCAATTAACAAACAGCGTATATAGTGTTACAGAATGTGAAAAGTAATGGCTATAATATAAACCTCATATGCCCAAAACTGTTGATTTGACCTGAACTCAACTATACTTAAAAATTGCAAAACTTTAATAGCTGGAATTACAAAGGAAATCAATTTTTTAAATCATTTCACTAACATTTGTTTGTGTTCTCTGGCTAATCTCTTCCATTAAACTGTTTGACTACAAATCTTTCCTGATACGTTTATTCAACATAACAATGTGTTCTGCATGTTTTCTGAACATTTTGGTAGACCGGAAAATAGCCATGAAAGAACATCCAAGTTGTTAAGCAATTAAAAATTGTGCTCATTAATCACTGTAAGATTACATGGACAGTCACCTTGATCTCAATTTTTAATGATAACCTGAAGAGAGCCAAAAAAAAAAAAAAAAAAAGGTAGATTCAAAGTAATCCAGCTCTGTGATATGGAGCTATTGTTTAAGTCATTTTCAGATTCGGCGACTTCCATGGCCTTAAGATGGATTGTTGCTTCTGTGATCTCTTTTGACTATCTCTATTTGTTAGAATGGAATAGAATTTCTTTGGTAGCCTTATTTGCATGAACTGAATAGAGAAAGGAAGCACTAAGCCCATGACGGCAAACCTATGGCACGCGTGCCACAGGTGGCACGTGGAGGCCTTTGTGCAGGTATGCAAGCCCTAGCCAAACTTACCTGCACTGCGCATGCGCGCACCTCCCAGGTGATTTTTTCAGCCTGTTTGAGGCTATTTTCACTCTCCCGGAGGCTCAAGGGAAGGCTCTGCAGCCTCGGGAGGCCGAAAAAAAGGCCTTCCAGAAATATTGGAAGTGCCGAAATGGGCCTGTTTTCAGCCTCCTGAGGCTGCAGAGGTTTCCCTCAAGCCTCTGGGAGGGCAAGAACGGCCTCCCCCAAGCTCCAGAGGCCCTCCGGAGGCTGAAAACATTCACTTCCGGTATTTCCGGAAGGCCCGTTTTTCAGCCTCCCGAGACTGCAGAGCCTTTCCTCGAGCCTCCGGGAGGGCGAAAACTGCCTCAAACAGGTTGAAAATCACCTAGGAGGCACGTGCATGTGCAGTGAAGGTGAGGGGGCAGGGCAGGGGTGTTGCGTGTGCATGCACAGGGGGGTGCATTGTATTTTGGCACACCACAGCAAAAAGGTTCACCATCACTGCACTAGGCTAATAGCAGATATTTGCGATATTGAAAATTGTTAATAGTACTTTAACACTCTGAATAGGGAAAGATGTCTGCTCCATTTTCTTTGTTCCTTTTACCTAGAGCTATTGCTATAGCTTCTCCAGTCAATACTAAACTTATCCCTTTTTTGTCTATGGTGTCAGATAGATTCCATTAAAAAAACACATTTTTCCTTGACATTTCAAAATACATGATTTGGGGTGGGGGGTGGGGGCTGAACTTGCATTGTATCTCATTAATCTCTCCTTGCATTCATTTTTACAAACTTCTCATGGTGCTTCAGGGGATAATTTGGAAAGGGTCCAGTTTTTAAACCTTCACTTTGTCAGTACTGTTTTGGAGAAATGTCTTGAACTCTATTCTCAAAGAAAATAAAAGCCTGCTGAGGACAGTAGGGACAAATATGTGACTTATATGTGACAAATATGTGACAAATTCATGACTTAGCATACTATTTTGAATATGCAGATAAATGGTAGCTTTTCTATCTTTCTATTTGTGTTAAATGTGTTCATGTTGGCTTTGTGTGCTGAGCACAACCCTCTTCTCTCCTTTTGATTACTAGATTGAATGATTATGTGCCATCAAGTCATTATTGATTCTTAGTCACAAGTTAAATAGATTTTTTTTTTCATGAGGATGTGTCCCTAACCTAGTCTTTCAGGTCTTCCAACTATGTATTCATTGTATCGATTGTTTCTGTAACCGAACCAATCCACATCTATGAAGATTCTTAGTCATCCAGATCATGGTTGTCCCAAAGGTGCTTTTTCAAAAGGCAACTGGACTTTGTTTTTTCTTGGAGACTTTTTGCTTCTTATCCAAGAAGCTTCTTCAGTTCTGACTGAATGGTGGAGGATGGAAGGATTTACAATCTTTACAGTTATCTGGTCATTAGTGCTCTTTCTGAGAGTTGTTGAGGCCACTTGGAGGTTTAACTGTGCCTTCAGGGTCATCTGAATAGTGCAAATGAGTGTGGAAGCTTTTTGGAACTTAGAGCTGAAAAGACTGTTATAAACAGGAGATAGGTGGTGGTGTTTCCCTTTATATTCTCACGAGTCTTCTCCAATACCAGAGTTCAAAAGCATCAATACTCTTCTCATCCTGCTTCTTCAAAGTCTAGTTTAATTCTATGGAATGTCACAGGGAATACCATGGCTTGCAGAATTCTGACCTTTGTAGGTATAAACACATCATGGTATTTGAATGCTTTTTCTAAGACCTTCAGGTACAAATGATAGTGACTGGCATATTTCTTGACTACATGTTCCTTTATTGTTGATGGTTGATCCTCAAAAGCAGAAACTATCCACCATTTCAATATTATATCATCAAGTTTAAGGCCAGTTGTTCTACCTGTTATCATTAGTTTGATCTCTTTATATTTAAATTTAGTCTCATTTTTTCGCTATTCTCCTTTAATTCCATTTCTATAGCTTGCAGATCCTTTGCAGTTTCAGCTATCAAAGTAGTGTTATGAGCATAGTGCAAGTTGTTGATATTTCTTCCTCCATTTATAAAACCATCCTCGTCTTCTTTCAACCTGGCTTCTCTTAATAATATATTCAGCATATAGATTGAGTAAATAATGGAAGAGCCTATAACCTTTTGTCAATCCTTTGCCAACACAGAACCAATCTTTTTTACCGTGTACTGTGGCTTTCTGACTTTTATATTGTCATGAGGACAATGAGATATTCTGGGATATTTCCATTTTTCTCAGCAATCTCCACAGCTTGATATGGTTGACACAATCAAAATAATCAATGAAGCACATAAATTTCCCCTTCTTTTACAGGATCCTTAACTCCATAAAGAACTATTCCTCTTGCATAGTTACTGTTAGGTTTAAAGGCATAAGTGAAACAGCAGATTTTCCTACGGTTTGCAGTAACAAAGGTTAGGAGGGATTATGTTTTTTTTAATTCAAGGCACCATGCAGCATCACCTAAAATGACTTGCTGCCAAATCAGATTGGCATATGTTAACCTCCTCCTTGTTTTTATTTAGTATATTATAATTAGACAAAATCAGCAGCCTTGACAGTCATGGACCAGGGCTGTATTCCCTCTTCCTCAGGAAAAAGGTTCTCGAGATCATTGCATTGAAGTTGATGTATTGCTGTGATCAATAGGCATTATTTTTGAGTAGATCAAAACTCTTTAGACAAAGGAAGAGTTCATGGAAGTGGAAATAAAAATGTAACTCCGTGATGGCAAGGTGTGGTGGCACACAAAGCCCTCTCTGTGGGCATACGTGCCATTGCCAGCAGCTTTTCTGCCAGCTGGTATTCGTGGGTGCCGGAGCACTGGAAAATGGCCTAAAAATGCCCCCCAAAACAGGCCGTTTTTCGGGTTGTTTTCAGGCCGTTTTCATTTGCCCGAAAACCAGCCCAAAACTAGCCTGAAAACAGCCAAAAAACAAGCATGCGTGCGCTGACCAGCTGGTCTTTGAGTTTCTGGTGCTCTGGCATGCGCACATGCATGCACGTTCTGGTTTGGGGACTCAGTGCTGAAAAGGTTCACCATCACTGGGTTAGAATGCAGTACTGCAGGCTACATCTGCTGACTGCTGGCTGACTGCAATTTGGTAGTTCAAATCTCACCAGGCTCAAGTAAAGTTCTTAGAGAGGGTTGTAAAGCATTGTGAAGCGGTATATAAGCCTAAGTGCTCTTCCTCTTGCTCTTGCTAGATTACAATTATCAGCTAAACCTACTTCTTGCCTAATTTACAGAAATACAAACAAGATTCTTGACTGTTATACAACTTAAATTCAAAAATTACAACCAGAACAAATATATCCAAAAGGGATTATAGTAGTATAGGTACTCTGATAGCAATTAGCACCCGGATTGCATCACTAAAGGAAACTATAGGAAAGTGAGTTGTAGAAATAAGAAATATAGACATTAATTTAGGGAAATAAAATCATTGGAAGACCATGCATGGTCGTCCCCGGTCCCCCCCCATTCTATGATTTTATTTGCTATGGTTTTAAAATATTTTCTCAAAAACTATAAACTATGGATAATTTTTCATGAGAAGTTTTTTTCTTTCTTGCAAATTGTATTGATTTCAACACAATTTACCCTGATACCAGATTCCATTATTGTACTGCAGTAGCAGCCTTGATTATATCTGACCATAGGCTTCTCCATAGACTCCTTTTTCAATGAAATATGAGAAAAATAGAACAAGAGATTGCTTTGCGTTTTGTATCTTTTGACATATTTGGATTAGGCCAGAAAAGCATTACATATTTACAAATATTACCTTCCACTCTTTGTTCCTTTAAGAAATAGATTGATCACACAGAAAAAACCTTAATATTATGCCTGTCAGAATTGCCATGTTCTGACATTATAATACTAAATTTTTGAAATAAAAATATTAACTTTCTATTCTAGAATTCTACATGATTTTTAAATGGTCCAATGAACCAAAGATATTCCAAATGTCTGTTTTTGTTAATTTATAGCCCAAATTAGAACCATATTGCTAAATCTATTTTTATGAGATTGGCTACAAAAACAGAATTGTGCAAGTCTGATTAAAGTTCTTACAGGTCAGTGAATCAGCAAGGCATTTGCCTGAATTGCTTCCAAATATTATCTCCTTGCTCTAGACCAAGGGTGTCAAACTTGCGATGATACGTTGTCATCATGTGATGTATTGTAACTTTTTCCACCTTGGCTAAACCGGGGGTGGGCGTAGTCAGGGCTTGATGCATCCAGCCAGGGCTTGATGCATCCGGCCCATGGGCCATGAGTTTGATAGCCCTACTCTAGACTTAAAAAATGTTTCAGTCCCTTTTGCTTAGGTAGTTGTTTTTGCATATTTCTGCCAACGCTATTTTACTTACACTCTATAAGGAGGAACAAATTACAGTTCTGATTTTAGATTCTGATTTGTTTGTTTATTAATGTCAGAAGTATCACAATGAAAATAAGGCATACTGTATAACATAAAATACAATACAGGATTAAAATATGTGCAAATTCAACAGATCTTGCCCAGAAACTAGCAACATTCATTGTGTTCTGTCGCGTTGCCACGAGGTCCACAAGTATACACTGATTGGGGAACAGAACAGGTATACATACAGTATGTGTTGTTGTCTGCATGTCACCACAATAGCAAACAATAGAAGCAACCGAATGGCCTCATTTGTTCAGAGTGTCTCTGGATCTTGTTGTACCTGTGCAAGTCTATTCAATAATTTCCATACTTCCCAGTTTTTTTCAGACCCAGGTGCCTCTCCTCCACTGGTTCCATCCAATGCTGGTTCTTTGTACTTTCCATAGAGCCATAGCATACCGTAGATTCTGCTATTTCCCTGTAATTGACTTGATTGCTGTGGGAAAACACTTGGATCTCTGGGAACAATATTTTTGCAGAAGAAATATGCATTTTCTATGGTTGCACTTTGCTACAACAGGAGAAATAATATGCTACATGGATTTTGTTTGCATATAGAACTGATTTCAGTGTATTTTACATGCTTGTCCAAAATCTGATGGGTCTTTTATGTGTCTTAGATCCACTGTCAATGGGGCCACAGAAAGCTCTAGAAACCATTGGTGCAAATTTGCAAAAACAGTATGAAAATTGGCAACCAAGGGTAAGTACCTTTTTGCCTTCTTGTAAGATAAGCCTCCCCTCCCCCTCAAAATCTGTGTTTACTTCTGCTAAACTAATAATATTAATACTAGAAAATATTTCACTTGAAATATTGGATACATACTGTGTGATCTTTTATATATTGTATTAGGCAAAATTCAGAGCTTTTCTATGTGTTCATGTGGATAGAATATTATAGGTTCTCAAAAATGATTAGGCTTCAACTAAACTAACACTCCAGAAAGAGAAGAGTCATTTTTACAGCCAAAAACTTCTACATTGATGGTTGTGTGATGCAGTGTTATAGTTATCAAGTAGTTAGCAAGGAAAATTAGCAAGGCAATTAATTCCAGTAGATAGAACTCTTTTCTGCATCATTGGCTTTTGATGTATATGCACAGGTTTTATAGTCAGATAATACTGCTTATGACTATTTTTTGGGTCTGTTGCGTCAGACGTTAGATTTATGATGTAGTAGTCACTAAAAGCTGAGATCATATTGGCTTCTATCCACATGAGTGGTATTGAACAATTCAGTAGCGGAAGCAAAGTCATCCCTTTTCTGGATGTATTTTAGCCAAGGATGGACTGTCAGTTTTTAGGAATGCTTTAATTTGAATTCTTGTACATAGAGAGGTTTGTTTTCATCAGGAGGATCATAGCAATAGTTGGAGAGAAATTGATGGCTTCAGTCACTGAATTTCTAAAATTTAATTTTGAAGGTTCAGGGGCTTTGCTGATTATGTAGAGTTTGCTAAAATAGAGGTGACATTCATGAGAGCCAAAAGTTCTTTATTTTCTGATAAGGCTTGATTTTTATGCCATATTATTTTAAATTAAAAATCTCTATTTCTCATTATCTCCGGCAATTGTACAGGGAATATGATGTTATGGTAACAAGCAGCCCACTAGATTTGCATAGTGGGACAATACCGACTCACAACAAAGACTGCATCCCAGGTCATCATTTTATGTTCTTTGGGCAGAACTTCATCCTTTTTTTGTGTTATGCCATCAATTTACAGAGAACATTTTTGCAATTCTGCAAACTTTTTCAGAGAGCACTCCTCAATCTCATTTGTCTTAACACGAGCATTTCATTCTTTTCTTAAAATCTTATTTGTTCAAATTATTTTAAAATTTGAGCCCAAGCTGAATTTAAGCTTAGTTTAAATGTCCGAATTCGTTAAATGTATATTTGCTGAACTCTATTTCTTTCAAAGACAAAGTATGGACAGTTTTAACATTCCCACTTATTCCCCTTCCTCAAGAAAGTAAAAGATAGTATGGGAAAAGGGAAACAAGAGAACTAAAAAAGTGGGATGGAAGATTATTCTTGTTCCATTTCGGGGAAATTGGAAAGTTGTTCAAAATTTGGAAATGGGAAACGGCACAAGCCAGTTTCTACTTTCTAATATTACTTTATTTCGTAGTAATAAAGTTCAAAGTGATTTGAACTAATTGTGCACAAAATATGTATTGTTTGCTTACAGAAATCAGGATCAAATTCTACTGGATTCTTTTTTTAAAAAATTCTCAGAATTGAACTGGATGTATTAATAAAAGAAGAATGGATTTTTCATCTTTCTCTTGCTGTCCTCCCACCTGTCTTTATTTCTGTCCAGATGCCACAGATGACATAATAGTTATTTGAAATAACATTTCAAGTGCAGAGCTTGAAAATATGATCTCTATAGCTCTCTTTGGTGTAAGATCATTGATTCCATTAACAGAAACTTCTACAGCTGCATGAAAGACCACGATGGTTTTGATGAGTAAATTTGTAATGATGCCACATTGTTACATTTATTGATGAGTCACGCCATTCAAATATCTGTACTGTGTGCATTCCAGAGTCCTCCTGTTTTCAGCATTACGATGCATAATGAATCCCCGGAAAACTGCCTATTGGCTCACTGATATAAGGTTTAATGCAATATGTAGACCTTAACAGTATAGTAAACTCTTGGGACCCAAGTCAAACAAAACAGTCTCTTTGCTGTTTTAATAACATAGCCCATGGAACTGGGGGAAGGGGATTCAGGGAGGAGGTTCTGATAGCAGCATGTACTTTATGTGGGTGAGCAGACTTTGGGCTGCTTTGTATAATTTGAACAGAACATGAGGCAACATGTGTACAAGATGTTTTGTGTGCATTGGTTCGTAGCACTAAATCACTGTCCTGTGAAGCATTGCAAAGCTGAACACATGCCATTTTATTGCACTCTGCTAGCTTTTACGTTTTTCTGCAGTAATAAAGAGAAATCGTTGGGCTATCCACAATAAAACAATAGGAGAATGATTGAATTTCCTAGATCTTTGCTCTAAAAGACATACTTTTTTTCTTCCTTGTCTTTCTTTCCCCTCTCCCCTATCCCAAGCTTGCTGTAGGTGGTCAGGGAAGCAAATGACAGATTATTGAAACAGAGTAGGAAACAGTGACTGAAAATGCCTCATTAAGAATATATGACGTTGATAAGCACTGATTATTGAAAAATGGGGCACTAGTGTACGAGGTTTGCTGGAAGAATTATCCAATTAAATATAATGGAATTTCAATGTTTACTACCGCTTTTCTTACAATTTTTTCATTTGTAGAAATAGCTGTCTATTTTGAACACATATAAAGAAGCCGTAGAAGGTAATCTTATGAGAAACAATATTGAGGAAAGTCTTAGTTTGCAAAAACAATTCTGCTGTGCATTGTTTGGCTGGCATGCTTCTCACTGACAGAATACTGACAGAATAGAGGTTTGCTAATTGGAAAATTTATCAGTATTCTGCTAATAAATTCTGCTTCCAAACAATTAAAAAATTAAAACTATCATACGGTATGATGTTTTTCCCGTTGCAAGACTAGAAAATGTTTCAGCCTATTCGGTTGTATGATGTTATAAATAATTAAATGTTTAATTATCATGGGGAAAATGGAAGTTATAATCTAATCCATGGAATACCTAGCCTGATGCTTTAGACTTCTGTGAATTAAAGACCCAAATGTGTTCATTCTCTATAGAATAATTATTACATATTATTCCTATGTACAGTGCATCCAGAAAGTATTCAGATCCCCTTTGCTTCTGTCAATTTTGTTATGTTGCCGCCTGATTCTACAGTTGTTGAAATTCAGTTTTTCTCATTAATCTACACTCAGTACCCAATAATGACAAAGTGAAAACAGAGTTTTAGAAATTTATTAAAAAGAAAAAAAACCCTGAAAGATAACATTTCATAAGTATTCAGACCCTTCACTCAGTGCTTCTTCACAGAGTTGTTCCTAAGCCACTCCTGTGTTGTTTTGGCTTAGATTATTGTCATGCTTAGATTATTGTCATGTTGGAAAGTAAACCTTCAGCCCAGTCTGAGGTCCTGAGTGCTGTGGAACAGGTTTTCATTGAGGATATCCCTGTACTTCACTCCATTCAGCTTTCCCTCAACCCTGACCAGTCTCCCAGCCCCTGTTGCTGAAAAATACCCCCTGCATGATGCTGCCACCACTGTGCTTCACTGTTGGGATGATATTAGGCAGATATAAGCAGTGCCTGGTTTTTTCCAGTCATAATGTTTAGAATTGAGACCAAACAATTCAATCTTGATTTCATCAGACCAGAGAATCTCGTTCTTCTTCAGAGTGGTGTTGACAGGATCCAGGCATGGGATATATTCAGCTCTGCTTGGCTATAGACTGAATAGAAAAACTGAAGACACCCCCCCCTCCGGGCTACCATCTCCAGTTCTTCTATTCAGTCTCGACTGAACTCGACTGTCTTTTTGATAGCTCCTCTGTTTTTTTAATAAATAGAGGGACGCTGTCAGGTTAAATTTCCTTGGATATATATTCCACCAACAGTTCTGAAGGGACTAGAGGCATGAGAGACTCTAGTTTGCCTTCGTGGTTCCTTCCAACAGGATAAAGAGGAAAATGTTCAGAACGGCGGCAAACCGAAGGAACCAACTTCACGTCTGTCAGCTGGCTAGTGGAGCGCCAGTTTTGGGGATTTTTGCAGTTTCGACGATATCGCACCCAGCGCCTAGAGAAAGGTACTCGGGGTGTCTAGTGCTGACCTGCCTGATAGGCAGCCTGCCCAGTCAGGGAGCATTGCCTAGTCAGAGCAGTGGATCACTGTGACAGTTCCCTGGCTTCACTGCCTGTCGCAGGAGTGGTTAATTTTGGCGGGAGCGCCATTTTGAAGTGAAGAAGATTCAGAGTAACAGAAGCCAGAGCTGGACAATTTACAATGCTGTAACCCGTTATTAATTTGACACAATCCGTGGCTAGGAGGATTAAGATAGCCATGTTATTGCCATTTATCCGCCTGGCTGGAAATTCAACTCATCAGTCTGTCAAGCGACTTTTGGAACAATCTGCTGGCCACAAACTTTCAAACATCTGGGCTCAAAGGGCTTTTTAAAAATCTGGGTTCAAAGGGCTTTTTAGGCCCCATTTATTTAAGCCATTGTTAGCCAAGGCCAAGAGTACGACTGGGGTAGATCTTAACACAAAGGTCCCAATCCCTACGAAAAAGGCTGGGGGTAATGAGGCACTATTTACAGACCCAAAGGAGGAGGCTGAGGTAATTCCCTCGTACGAGATATTTTTCAACATGGTCCAAAGACAGTTAGATTTACCAAGATCTTGTCCAGAGGCTACTGCCTTCGACAAGCATTTCTACAATGTGGACACACTGTTCGCAGAAGCTTTACATCTTCCGGAGGTAATGACCCTGTCTTAGCTCTCGCTTCCTCTTCAGCCACACTTAACGATGCAGACAATGTCCTTAGGGGTGAGGATAAGAAGGTGGACTTAGTTTGGCGAAAGACGCACCAGGAAGATGTGTCTCAGGTAAGATCAATGCCCCCTCATAGTGTGAGAGCTCTTCAGGTGCTTTTTTGCAAACTCCAAGCGGGCTTTCATGTGTTTTGCACTGAGACAAGGCTTCCATCTAGCACTCTGCCATAAAGACCAGATTGGTGGAGGGCTGCAGTGATGGTTGTCTATCCCATCTCCACACAGGATCTCTGGAGCTCGGTCAGTTTGTGCCAAGCTTCTTCCATTTGAGAATTATGGAGGCCACTGTGCTCTTAGGAATCTTCAGTGCAGCAGAAATTTTTATTGTAGTGTTCCCCAGATCTGTGCCTTGCAATAATCCTGTCTCTGAGCTCTGCAGGCAGTTCCTTTGACCTCATGGCTTTTGCACTGCTACAGTATGCATTGTCAGCTGTGAAGTCTTCTATAGAGAGGTGTGTACTTTCCAAATCATGTCCAATCCATTTAATTTAGCACAGGTGGACTCAGAAACATGTCAGCAACAATCAAGAGAGTTGGGAGCTAAATTTCAAGTGTTGTTGCAAAGGATCTGAATACTTATGCCTTTTGTGGTATTTCAGGATTTTTAAAATACATTTACAGACATTTCTAAAATTCTGGCATTATGGGGTACTGTAGAATCAGCATGCAGCATAACAAAATTGACAAAAGTGAAGGGGCTCTGAATACTTTCTGAATTCATTTTATGTATGTCATCAGTATTGAGGGGCAATATCATTTTTGGATTAATCTTTAGAAGGCTCAAAAATTACGTGATTGAGCTCTTCTTGTCTTAGTGATGGCTTCAAACAAATCAGCCAGGTTGCCTGTGGCAATCCTCAGTGTTGGGTTTGTTGCCTTCAAATCCAGAAAAATACAACAGCTTGTACATTGTACAAAAGTCGGATGAAGACCCCTGTGTCTGAATATAACTAGAGTTCCATTTTTTTTGAATATTATGGAAGCCTTGTTACAATATAATTTTAAGTCCTTGACTTACGATCACAATTGAGCCCCAAATTTCTGTTGCTAAGCAAGATAATTGTTAAGTGAGATTTGCTGCATTTTATGCATTTTCTTGCCACACTTGTTAAGTGAATCACAACAGTTGTTAAATTATTAACATGGTTGTAAAAGAATCTGGCTTTCCCATTGACTTTGCTTGTCAGAAGGTCAAAAAAGGTGATCACATGATCTGGGACACTGCAACCATCATTAATATGAGTCAATTGCCAAGCACCTGAATTTTAATCACGTGATCATAGGGATGTTGCAACAGTGGTAAGTGTGAAAAATGGTCATAAGCCACTTTTTTCAGTGCTGCTGTAACTTTGAATGGTCACTAAACGAAAGGTTGTAAGTTGAGGGCTACCTTTATTTGTCTACAGTGTTATGTATTATGTGAGTATGACAGTCACAACTTTGAAGACCGGTCATAAATAACATTTCCTAGCACACTTGTAATTTCCAACTGCCATTAAATGAATTGTCATAAGTTGAGGACTACCTGTAATTTCTAGCAGATTCTATTTGCATCTATATTAATGCCCATAAATGTAAAAAAAACGATAGCAATATTTATTCCCCTGCACACCACAAATAAGCCTCTTTCATGAAATTGGAGCAATGCAGTTAGAAGAGAGGATGAATTACTAGGGCTGTTCAGTTCCTTTTATATGGCAGCATTCCCTACTCAGTACCAAGACTTTACAGAACATTGCTGTTCTCTCATTCTGAAACTGCAGTATTGGAACTGGATTAAAGTGTTTGTTTCAAAACCATTGAACTTTTTTTTTTTTTGTATTTTGGCAGGCTGAGTACTGAACATTAAACAGAAGTTGCTTTACAATAGGTCTTCCCATGGCCATTGACAGGTGTGTTTCAGAGAACCAAGTGCTGCCTTGTCTCTAGCTAGAATGGTCATACCTTTCCTTTTTGCTGGATCCTGAGCTTTTGAGTTCATGCTGCTTGTGTATTTCTGACAACTGCAAATGAGGTCACGTAGCCAAAAGCAAAATTGTCGGATGGGTGGTATTCAATTTACATAATGCAGAATTTGCCGTGGATCACATTGCAGGGTATATTTCTTAAATTTGGGTGAAATTAGTCTCCCCCCTTTTATTTATTATTTTTTTACTGTTTCATTTTTGAATTTGAATTTTCCACAATGTTTTAAGTTTATGTTTCTGTCAAGATCAATTGTGCTTAATGTGTTTCTGGATTTAAAACTACTTCCTTCTTTATTCTACCTATTATGCCTTGAACAGATACCGTAGTGGATGTTTTTGCTGATCTAACTATAACCCTAAAGGAATTTTCCATTCTTCTCAGCTCTTCCTTCCGTCGGGCATATTCCTCCAATGGCCATAATGATTGCAATATATTTTCTTAATTATAAGTTCTTAAGAAAGTTAATTTTCCAGATTCTAATATTACTGTTACTAACTGGGATTCAATTCCCCCTGCCCTAAATGTGTTTTAAACTCAAGAAAGATATTCTTTTTTAATAATATATTGAATACCACAGAAATAATTTGTCCGCTGTTCAGTGCAGATAACATTCTGTATCTTTTTGCTTTCGGGTGATAGTTCAGGTGGGTGTTTTTCTAGACAATAACGTGATAGTGTTAACATTAATCTAATCAGTTGCATACAGTGCACAGCAGTTCTCACACTATGACAACTCCGTGAGAGCTACTGAGATATTATTTTATATATGGACAACCATAACTCCAATGGTAACAGAATCCTTGTGACATGCAGTGTAACAATAGCAGAGAGATCCTTTATTTGGCCACTGTTATTCTAAACAATCACCTACATTACCTAGGAAGCTTCTCAGGATATTAGCAATATTGGCACCAATTATGGTAGTTTACCCAAGGCTGGATGGGAAGCTGATTCTTACTTCTGGGAGAGTGTCAGTTTAAATATCCTTTTAATCTATTGTCTGATTGAATGCTATGAAGGAGACTCTTGCAAAGGTACGTGCTTGATATTTTGATGGACAACATACATCCTTATTTTGTTTTAGTACCCAGAATATACACATTTCTGTAATACACATATACATACACATGCGTGCTTTCCCTGCGCACAAACATTGCATTTATATTCAGAAACTCAAATGGAGTTAAAAGCTATGGAAAAGGTTTGGACCTCTTCACTAGACAGATTATCTAGTGGCTCCAAGAATACAGATACAAAAGTACAATTTGTGATTTTATAACTAGGCAGAGCATATTATGCTCCAGCTTAAGTTTGCTGGGGTTGACAGTATGGGTAGGTGGGCAGGTGAATACATTGCACCACTTGGTTTTGGAGCAGTTGGTTCCACAGCTCC